GGTCACAACGGGCTGCCTAGTTTCAACAGGAGGGGAGAAAGACTCCACCTCTTGGTGAGAGGATTGTCAGAGAATTTGCAAATACCCTGCCCCCAGGAGGGCCGAGCTGCCATCTTGCTTAGTGATGGGGGATGGCTTAGAAGACACCTCAGACTCCTTCGATTATGCCATAGGGTTTAGAGGCAATGGAAAAAATAACTGACAGTCGAAACCGTGGGGAGGGATGCTGCACTTAGAGGAACATACTTTGAATTACAAGGAAAATGAGCGAGAGCTCTGTTTATGTTTGTAAGGGAAGATGTATCCGTGTAACAAATATGTCTTATACGTGTATAAGCAATTCTAAAAGGAAATTTATGCCATTAATTTAATTAGTTAAGCATTGGTGTGCATGAGATACCAAGACTGGGGAAGAGGAGAGAATTAAAGCAGGGATTTCCAGCGCTTTTCTTGTACTACTACAAGTTCCTCCAAGCCACTTGCAAAATAAAGTTAGTTGGCTGGACTGTTAAAAGAACATGAAATGTGTCATATAGAGCCCTGAAATGGAGATGGAAGAAAACAGGTAAAAGGAAAGAAGAGTGAAAAGACCAGTGGTAGAACATCAGTTCCCAAAGGATTGTGGGTCATCACATTTGATTGTACAGAGCAGCCTGCAAGGTGGGCATTGAGAAAAAGTGGCCGAGAGTGTAGACTCTGGAGCGAGCCAAGCTGCCAGGTTCAGATCACAGCTCACCGTTCCCCAGCTGCATGAGAGCCGGCAGGGCCCTGTACCCTCTCTGTGCTTTTCCTCAGTTGCAGCAGGGAGCTAATAGTAGTACCTGCCACGTCTGCTTGTTAGGAGGGTTGTGTCAGGTATGTAGGAAGCGCTCAGTACTCGCTAGCCATTTCTCTCTTCACCAATTCCCTCCTTGCCTTGGCCAGATGCAAATATCATGCCCAATGTGGACTGTGGGCGACCGGCCAAATAAACAGGAGGAGGAGGGCCTTTTCTCCCCCTGGGTCCTGGGACCCTGTAAGCATTGGAATTCTAGGTAGGAGGAGGCCTTCATGGACATCTGGGCTCCCATCAGCCTATGGGTTTCCACCCCACATGCACACACGTGCCCTTAATCCAACAGGCTTTAAAAATTGGTTCCACATTTAAAGCATGTCAAGCTAGATTTTAGTTTTAGTGTCTCTCATATATTTGAAATTAGAACCTCCAGAGGCCATTATGCAAATCAATGCAAATAGCATGCAAAGAGGCTCTAGCCCCAGATTGTGGGGCACAGAGTGAGCAGGCCAGCACAAAGGGCCTTGGATGAAAATTTGCATCTGTTGAGGGGTTGAAGGCCTGGCCTAGCTATTGTGACAGTATGCTGCCCCTTGCATTCTGTTGTTAACCTTTTGTGCCCAGGAAGAAAGGAAAACTCTTGTCTAATTTCCATACTGAAGGAGACAGCGGAGGTTGAAGGTGTTTGGGCAGTAAGTGCAATGACATCGTAGCAGTTTTCATGATGTAAATGAAAAGTTGCTTTGAAATAACAGCTATGATCCAGACTGTCTCCCACGAGCTGTGTGTTCTTAGACAAGCTACTTCACTCCTCCCCTTGCCCCCTCCTTGAAGTGAGGGGAGTGTGTTAAGTTAGCTCTAGGGCCCCTTGCGCAGGGGCAGCAAAATGTCTTCCTCCAGGTGAAAACCCTTTGCAGCCAGGATGGCCGTATCCATTCATTGTACCAAAGGGTTACCCTGAAATCTAAAGAAGAAATGGCTAAGAGGTCATTTAACAGTCCTCCTAGAGAGAAAAATAACTTTAGGGTATGCAAAGGCAAACAGGTTCACTTACACCATAAGTATCACCCGCAAGAAGGGTTCCAGCCATATACTTCCTTGCTGGGAGGCTTCTCGGCCCCGGAATGCTCCTGGTGAGGGAGTTGGGGACATTTCTCTCCGTGATTATTATAAAGTGCCCTCTACCTCTAAAGCACTGCAGAAGTTCTGGGGGCCAGGGTTCCTCCTGTCCCACCCAGGCCTGTCACTGTGGTCACTTGGGGTCTCCCCAAAAGCTTTGCACTGTCCTTTCTGCCACCACGAGACCACAGTGTCCTTGGTCTCCAGCCTCTCGTTGTATCAAACACACCTTGTGCTCCACCCCAGGAGTTCCCTGCGCCCTTAGTTTTAACTCCCGCCGCTGTGGCAGCCACCAGCTGGGGGCAGGTGCAACCAGAGAGCCTTGCTCTGACTCGGCCCGTGGGCCGCGCAGGAGCGAGGCAGTGCCGTGGCAGGAGCAGCCACGGAGCGGCCGTGGGCCCCTGGGGGTGGGAGCTGCTGGGTAAGCTCTCTTCTTCCGTGCACAATTGGAGGTGCATCCGCTCAGCCCCTCGACATCCCCAGCGAATTCGAGTTGCCCACTCTAATCAGCTTCTAACTCGCCCTTGGATTGATTTTCCCTGTTTCACTCATCTCAGACCAGACCCCGTCGCTGTCCCCTCAGAGCACCTCCCAAAATAAACTACCTGCACACAAGCCTGTCTTCACCTCTCTTTTGGGGAGTCTCTAATGTAAGTCACACGGGCTGCCATAACAAATTTCCACAGACTGGGGCCTTCAACAATAGAAATTTGCTTCCTCATGGTTCTGGAGGCTAAAAGTTCAAGGTCAGGATGCTGACGGTACTGGTTTCTAATAGGACCTCTCTCCTTGACCTGCCGAGGCTGCCCTCTCCCCATGTCCGCCCATGGCCTTTTTCTCTGCACGAGTGTGTGAGGGTTCCTGATATTTCTGTGTGTCCCAATCTCTTGTTGTAAGGACACCAGTCAGATTTATTGAGGGCCCACTGTCATAATAACCTCTTTAAAGGCTCTCTAAACACAGTCCCGTTCTGAGGCACTGGGGGTCAGGGCTTCAACGTGTGAATCTGGGGGCGCACAGTTCAGTTCATAACAACACTCACATCGAACCAAGGCACCAGGTGCCAAAGGGAGGCATATAAGGCAATGTCCCTCAAAACATCAGAGGTCTCAATACCAGTTCTTAGGTTGTCCCTGTGGTTTAAGCTTCAGGGGAGAGTCTGGATGACCCTGAACTAGTCGGAGCATGGCGGTACCTTGTTTCTTCTGTGGCTGCAGCTCTGCATCCTCTTCTTCCTCCTTCTGTGGCACTGGGGTGATGTTTAACCATGAAAAGCATGCATTTTGGATACAGCCCTGGTTTCATGTACTTCTGATTCTGTGGGACTTTGAACATGTTACTTAATCTCTCTGAGCCCCAATTTTCTGCCCCTTCACGTGGTTGTAAGGATTAAGTCAAGCATGAAAGGCTGGCCAGAGCAGGTGCTCAGTAAACAGTTTTTAGGGTTTATTTGAATAAGTAGAACACTCTCTTGATGTATGGGCTAGATTACAAGTGAAATTTTAGAAAAAATAGGTTGTTTAGGGCAAATTGTAAGTCCTAGAGATCATGGGTGCTACAGTCTCTGTTGGATCTACAGTCCCACAGCCTCCCCCCGACCCCTTAATTTACAAGCCCCCTCCTGAACCCCACCCCACACCTACGCTGGAGGCGGCCCCAGTGGGGGTCCTGGGCCTTGTGTCAGAGGCATGCCAGGAGATGGTCTCCCCCTCTCTGCTTGCTGGGAGCTCGCCAGGGCCCCTGCGAGCAGCTTTGCTGACTGGTCCCAGGCTCCCAGGAGTCACCACCAGGGCCCCAGCTTTGGCCATCAGTCCTGCTGGGACGGGGCGAGGCTCCAAGAGAGCGAGCTGACAGAGACAGGTCTCTGCTCTGCTGTAGCCGAAGGAAGGGCATGCGCGTGACCAAGGCTGGGCTCGTGCAAACAAGCAGGAGTGCCCAGGTCAGAATCAGGCCTAGAGGCCGCCCCTCAGCAGTGCAGACAAGCTCTTCCCAGCCCCTGCGTTGTACAGGGGTCGCCGGTCTTCTAATCCATTGTCTGAACATATCCCATGTCTCACAAGCACAGGAGGTATTATTTTGAAAGATAGGCACCTGCTGTTGTGATTAATAAAATCCACATATATCTAGAATTGTTTTTAAATTTTTTTTTTCCTTGTGCGTTTTATCAATGAACTAAAAGCATACTACTGTCCATCACACAAAATCCATGACTTTCTTTTAATGATCAAAAGAGCTCCTTCTACTCTAAAGGTCTGGGCATCAGCAATGATTTCCCAGAGTTCAACGCCATAGGGAAAGCAGTGAACACTGACGACAACCATAAAACCAGCTGGCCTTCATGGGGCACTGCTCAGTGCTTTACAGGCGCCTGGTCCAGTTGCCCTCCTCCCGACCCCAGTGCCCTTGTGCCTGTCGGTCTCCAATGGCACTGAGACATCTCTGCCTCATTGTAGGATTGTGGATTTGTGCTAGTGAGCTCAGGGACAGAGACTGCCCTGTTCATCTTTGGGTCCACCCGGGTCCAAGAGAGGCCAGGCCCTTCTTAAGTGTTTGTTGGGTGGGCGTGGATGAACAGAAGTCTGTCTGTCTGTACCTTCGTCTGGTTCATAAATGGAGGGTTGAGAAAAGACATGGCAGCTGGCCAGCCCCACCCACCTAAGTCTTCGTCCTTCAACCCGGGGTGGCTCACACAGAACTGCTGGCCTCCCCGTGGGCAAGCTGGCCTTGACCCCACCCTGGCTGCGCAGGGCCAGCAGGTACTCAGAGACCACAAACTACCTCCCGCTCCCAGCCCCAGCCTGTTCTGAGAGGCCGCGTTGGGCGGAGAGCTGGTGGCATTGGGGACAGGCCGGGCCTGGCCAGTTTAGCTGGCTGCGGCTGCCTGGGGCTGCGTTCCCCTCCCGGCAGTGCTGGGGATGCCTGCCTAACAGACCCGCCGGACCCCATGGTTCTGTGTGCGATGCGGGTCGGGGCGCCAGCGTGGACCTCAGGAATGCCCCCGGTGTTTCCCTTGCGTTCCTGCACTTCACAGGCTCACGGATTGGGAAGGTCCAGGCTCTGAACTGCTCCCCGGGCATCTCACCTCTTCTCTCTGTCTCCCCTCAAGGCTTCCTCCTGATCTTGGCACTGACTGAAGCACCGGTATTTGCTGCCCAGGAACCATCTCCCAGGGAATCTCTTCAGGTCCTACCCTCAGGCACCATGGTGACAGCACCGTTTGGCTCTCCTAGACACTCATCCATGGCGGCTGCCCCCACCTCCATGGTGACGCCGAGCCCCCGTCCTGATGGGTCCCTCGCACAGGCCGAAGCCCCCGTGGCAACAGCACCTCCCTATCCAGACGGACACCCTCCCACCAACACCTTCACCACCGCTATGGCGGCGGCAGCCACTCGCCATGCTGAAGGCCCCCTGACCACAGGGCCCCTTCCTGCTGCCATGGCAACCACCTCCTCCCACTCCGAGGGCCACCCCACAGGGGAGGCTGGGCCCACTGTCCTGCCGACCCAGCCGACTGGAGCCGCCAGCCGCCCCAGCACAGCACCCGCCCGGACCAGCACGCGCAGGCCCCCCAGGCCCCCAGGCTCTCCCCGCAAGGGGGCCGGTAGTTCGTCACGCTCTGTCCTGCCTGCGCTCGGTGGCCACTCCGGAAGAAAGGAAGGCCAGCGAGGGAGAAATCAGAGCTCCACACATCTGGGGCAGAAGCAGACCCTGGGGAAAATCTTCCACCTCTACAAAGGCAACTTTACAGGGTCTGTGGAGCCTGAGCCCCCCAGCCTCACCCCCAGGAGCCCGCTCTGGGATTTCTCCCCCTCGCCACAGGCCCAGACAGTGGCCACAACCACGGCGCCCAGCAGGACCTCGTGGGCACCAAGCACCACCCCCTTGGTGCGCACAGAAGACAAGCCAGGCCTTAGCAGAGCAGACCAGGGGGGTGGTCCTACCTTCACCAGCCAAGGGGGGGAGCCCGGCGCCGCGGCAGCCTCAGGTGCCCCTGCCGGTCCACGACCCGCCCCAGTGCCTTCTCAGCGCCCCCATGCCGACCCACACGGCAGTGCCCGCCACAGTGACTCCGGGCTCGCTGTCACCCCTGAAACCAACAGACCTCTGTCTGCCAGCTCTGGGGCCTTCACGGCCACCGCGGGGCCCGCCCAGGCTGCCTTCGACGCCAGTGTCTCAACCCCTTCCAGGGGGATTCCTCAGGGAACGTCCTCAACAACATCCTCAGCCCCACAGGCCCCGGCCCACCCCGCCGGGGTCTCAGAAAGCACTGTTTCCCGAGCTGAGGAGGAGGCTGTGGCCACCCCCAACGTGACCCACAGGGTACCCAGTCCTCTCTCCACGGTGGTGTCCACGGCCACGGGGAACTTCCTCAACCGCCTGGTCCCTGCAGGGACCTGGAAGCCTGGGACGGCAGGGAACATCTCACATGTGGCCGAAGGGAACAAACCCCAGCACAGAGCCACCATCTGCCTGAGCAAGATGGACATTGCCTGGGTGGTCCTGGCCATCAGCGTGCCCATCTCCTCCTGCTGTAAGTGCCCTGCCCTCCCCCCACGCCTCCCTCCCCCCCTCCTCCTCCCTGCGCCACAGCTACTCGTCAGTCCCCAGAATCCCTTTGCCCCAGAGTTGGGCAGTCCCCACCAGGTGGGCTGCAGAATTGTTCAGAATCCCAGGGAACAAGGTGGTTGAACAAAAGCCATGGGTTATCCCTGCCCCCGGTCCTCGGCCCTGCCAGGCCGCGGCTCAGAGGCCCACTGGGCGCAAAGGCACAGCTCCCAGGAGCCGGGGGCGGGGACCTTGCAGGTGGTCCGGTTTAACCCTGCATTTTGCAGGAAGAAACACCAAGCTGGAGAGGCGACATGGCCCGCTCAAGACCCCAGAGGAAGTGAGAGGCAGGCCTGGGAAGAGTGCCCAGAATGCCTGTCTCCCAGCCCAGGGCTTGAGTCATGACACCACCCTGCCCGCAAGGGACCCTGCTAGTGCCTAGAGTGACAGGGCAGCCGGGCACCTGGGTGACAGTCAGCACTTGCACATTTACAGCACAGCCCTCACCTTCCTCGCCTCCATCACTCCATCTTCCTTCCTGCCTTCCTGCCCTCCCTCATCTCATCTCTTCCCCCTTCCCCCAAGAAAGAAGAGAAGGTGAAGCTTTGATCTTGCAGGAAGTTCTATTAGCCTTCGCAAAAACATAGTTTTCATATCTAAACTGAGGCTTCAGAGTAACCTGTGGATTTAGCGGTTCTCTCCCTCCTCCCCAGTTTCATGTGTTCCTGGGGGCTGTGAGCCGGGTGCTGTGAGCCACGTGCAGTGTGGCCCTCCTCCCCGTCTTTCGCTCCCACTGGCACTGGTGGAGGAGGGCCTTTCCCGGATGACCAGCACCCCGTGCTGCTGCCTGTCACTCCTGTGATGAGGAGTCGGGAGGCTCTCTCCCTGACATCTCCGTAAAGAACCTGACATAGTCCCTCAGCACCTTAAGGTGCCCTTTATGTCTTCCCCAGCTACTTGATCCTAGACTCTCGCAATGTCTCCAATAACCTCACAGGAATCCTCACTGATCCCAGCCCCCACCCCACCCCCCACAGTCACCCCGCAGCCTCCCTCTGAAGCTGTGCTCCTCACTCATTGGACAGCCTCCCCCGCCCCGGGTGCTTCCCCAGCTCCCATGGGGGCCTGACATGGCCTCCTTGTAACTTTCCCTCGCTGGTCCCAAGCCATGCCTTCCGGAGCTGCACAAAACCAGTCAGTCTCCGAGCCCCTGAGCTGTTTGCAGTGGCTCTCTCACGGTCAGCCTCCTCTCTTGCCCAGCTGCTCGTCCCCATCCCCACAAGTCTCTTCACAGGGCTACACTGCCCTGGCCTGCCCTGCCCCCTGCCCCTCTGGATGGTCTCCAGTTTACCCTTGCTCCCCAAAGGGAGAGGACAGCGTTGTGCATGCCCGGCCCCGCTGGCCCCATGCAGGCAGCACACGCTGGCATCGGCTTTGCTGGCTGTACTGTCACGTCACACCATGGGCTCACCCAGTTCTCTAGAGGGATGAAGACCCAGGAACGTTACCGGTCATTTGAACATCAGGGCAGGAGGCACACGCCTTCCACATGAACGTGGTGTCTGCTTCACATTGTACTCCAACAAGATCCTCTTAATCTAGCGGATAAGCAGCGCGGACTTTCCACGTCGGGTGGGCAGGCTGCTCCCACGCAGGGATCCAGTGCAAGGGACAGTGAAAGTGCCTGCACATTGCCTCTGTTCTTGTTTCATTAGGCAGCTTCATTGTCTCTCCTGGAAACACACGTGTGTTCTTACAGCTGTGATTGCCCACTTCTAAAGCAGAAGAATGATAATGAGAATATATTGCACTATTAGCCAATAAATAATAATGGTCGTATTAGAGAAGTAACCACATTAGAGACAGCTTTCTAATTTTCCATTCTTTACATGTGTCTAGAGGCTCTCGTTTACAAAATGAGTTCCCATTATTTTCAATCATTCCATCCTTAAAACAGACTAGCCAGAGGGATAAAATAAAGACAGAAACAAGTAAATACATTCTACAAGGAACATGCCTTACAGGTGGGGTGTAAGTCTCCAGGTGAAGTGACTTGCCCGGGGTCCCAGTCACTCGAGAGTCAGCCCAGAGCTGGTGGTAGAATCTGTCTGATTGAACACAGTTCTTCCTGGGTACCCACTGTGTGCCAGGCGCTGTGTCACACACGAGGGAAGCAGAGATGTGAGATGTGACTCCCCCGCCCTCCCAGAGCCCGCTGTCCACCTGGGCTTCCCCTTAGCCAGCCTTTGCCCCCTACAGGCCACACGTGGGGTTTGCAATTCTAAAAAGACTACTCCAACCCTTTTGCTGTGTATGTTTGAGATCAAGTCAGATCTTAACTGCAAAGCCAAAAAACATATGAGCTGCCTAAGCCATGTGCAATAATGTCAGCCAGGAACAAAGCAAGGACACAGCCTGGGCCTGTGCCTTGAGAAGGCTTCTGGCAGTGACGGCCTTCATAAAGGATGATACAAGCCTTTGCTCGAAGCGGACACTTGCAGCCCCCAGGAACCTCAGGCCCCACTGCCTTTGGCATCTGTCTTGCATTTCCACTCCCCTCAGGCACCAAGGCTCCTACCCCAGCTTGGCTGCCTCCACACACAACTCCCTGTTCTCAGCCACGCTCCAACCCCTGTGGGGTCACCATTAACCCTGTGAAGGCCCAGAGGAGAGGGGCACTGAGACAGAATGCTTACCCAGCTGCAGAACGCTCTGCTCTTTCAAAGCTCAGCGGAGTATCCAGACTGCGGGGATAGCTCTGCCCCACTCTGCTCCTCGGGGGAGCAGGCAGACCTCTTGCAGGTCTAAGGGACCCCCGTCTCACGCCTCAGCGGTGACGTGTCCTAACGCTCACTCTACAGCCCTCAAAGAAGGGCCTCCTCCTCTGCCATTCTGCCAGATCGTTCAGCCGGCCTGGGTGGTAGCAAAGTACGTGCATAGATTTTCTCACATCTGGCTTTTCAGACAGGCACTGGCCCTGCTTTTCTCCACCCACCAGAAGCCAGCCTTGGGTGGCCGGGACTGCGACAGGCAGAAGCAGGGTATAGCCATAGCAAATCGCAGGCCTGCCCAGGCAGGGATGTCATCAGTTCCTCCTGCCCTTCCGGATCGTGAGCCCCGCCCAACTGCCGAAGGATGCATGTGCCAGGACTGGGGAATGCTTTGTCTCCTGAGCCAGGCCAGAGACAGCTGGACAGGGCTTCAGGTGGCTGAGAAGCGACATTGGCTGGATCCAGGCCACATTTGGCTACGGCAGGGGAACCATGTGGCTCCTGAGCTGGTCTCTGCTGCCACCGTCAGGATACTCAGAGCCCACCACCTCCTGCTGGAGCCTCTGGGCCTGGCCCTGAATTACTGACCCTTCCTCAACATGGGCAGCGCCCTGGGTTCTCACCAGGCGGCCAGCTTCGTGTCTGCCCCGGGCTCCCTGGCCTTCCTGCACAGGCCACGCCCACCCATGAGAATGCCTTTGCCAGCCTTCCTGGGAAGACAGGGGGCTGTATGGAAGGTGAGAAAGGGAAACCGGGCCAGCGTGCGTGCTTCTCGTCCCAGCCCACGTGGAGCTTGGCCCAAGGAAGCGGCAGAGCGGCTCCTCCTGCTGGCCTGCGAGGGGCCATGCGCGCTGCCCCGGGGCGTCCGGCTTCCTTCCACGCGTATGGTAAACATCATTGGCGTATCAGGGCAGCATTCAGACAGCGGCCGCATCCAGGCGCGCAACACGGCTCTCGTCTCAGTTGTTCTGGGAATGGTAGTCAAATCTGAATGTCTATGTACCTTTTACTCACAGGCCTAAAACCACTGTAACTATATAGGAAAACCTGGGCCAGAATTACTCTTCGCTGTGAAAAAAATGTAGAGGAGATTGGGACGCGAAAGAAGTATAAAGTGAAGGTTTGTCTCCCTGGGGCTTATGAAGCAGTTGAAGGAGGGGCAGGGAGCAGCCTTAGGACAAGGCGGTGCGGTCCAGGGTGTGCCACGGCGGCTGGGCCAGCGTCACGCCCAGGGCTCTTCCCTGGGCTTCCCGACCAGTGCCCCTGGGGGGCACCTTGGGCTTCTTCAGGCATATTCCCAAGGGCCAGGATAGGGAGTCAGACAGTAGGCCCCAGACCTGGTTCCCCAGGCCCATGGCCTCGTGTCCCACCTGGTCTCCCTCCATACCGAGCCTCCCTGGACCTCCTCCCTCAGCCTCCAAGGAGGGAAATGACTGCCCACAGTCTGGCCCGCCCCTCAGTTCGGCACTCCTGACCCATCCTTCCCTTGAGGGTCTCGGGTCTCTCATGTACAAAATGAAGGGGCCACCCTGAAAAATGTCAGCGCCCCCTGTTCTAACTTTTCCTAACTTTAAACCTGCATGGGTCGCTGGAGAGGAAGCCTGGTGCAATAGGAAGACTTGGCTCGGGGACCAAGCACACCCGGACATCATCCCAGCTCTCCCGCTTGTAGCCTGTGAGACTCGGATGAGTTACTTAACCATCGGCCCAATGTCTTCTCACCTTAAGAGCAGGGCTAGTGTTCACCGTGTTAGTTTGGGGCCTTCAGGAAGCAGACACCAAGACAGGATTAGGCCTGCAGGAGACTTATTGGGGAGACACCCGTGACATGCATGAAGGAACGGGGGCAGTAGGCAGGGAGCGCCCCGGACCGCAGTGCAGGTCTGACGCCCGTGAAATCAGCGGGGGAGGAAGGTGGGCCAGGCAGGGAGAGTCCTGGGCTGCAGTGCAGCTTTAAGGAGGTTTCTGACAGGCCATCGAGGAGCCTCCTGTCCTGCGGGAGCAGACCTGCACCAGTGCCCCTGCTACTGCCAGTCGTGACCAAGAGCAGCCCAGGATGCCTGGCCTTGGCACAGAAGCAGTGTTGGGTCCGGAGTGCGGCAGCCGGGGCTGTCCCTGAGCCACAGTCCCTGCGGCAGGGGGTCCGAGCAAAGCACCTTCACGGCCGCAGCACCCACTCCGAAGCCCTGAGTGCACACCAGAGACGATGCCGTGGAGAAGGCGCTCAGCAAATGGCGGTGCTCGTGTAGCCGTGGTTATTATGGCTCTTACTGTCATTAGGGTTTGCTGTGCACTCTCCAGCAGGCCACAGGGAGAGTGCTTTCAGCGGGTGTTTGGAAAGGTTGAATCTTTGGGGAGCCTCTAGGATTTTATTTCCATTTCCTGTCACACAGGTAGCCTACCCCTGGAATCATGGCTCTCCCAGAAATGTCAACACAGGCCCCAGGGCTCCATCTTAAAATCAGTGGCCCTCCTCCTTCCAGCCACACATCTGATGGGTCCCCATGGACATGCCTAGGAAGCCGAGAGAACTTGCTTAACTCTCACTCCCGTTTTAACACTTGAGGGAATAGCAATCTCCTTGACCCCCACTGCAGTCTTGGCGGCTGTTGCCTTTGGAGAAACAGCGGTCGAAGCTCTGAAGTAAATCAGAAAGAGGGTGGCTCACACCTTGTGTTTGCCTAGAGCTGTGTAGTTGACAAAGTGCCTCACATAAGTAGGGCACATTCCCTCCAGTCCCCAGGACAGTATGGGGAGGGGGGACAAGTGTGAACCCGAGGGTAACAGACACCTGGGTTCAAGGTCCAGTAATTAGCTGGGTGAGCAGGCTCAGTTTCGTTAATGAGCTTCAGGTGCCTCTTCTGGACGTGGGAAGAGTAACAGTAGCTTCCTTAGACAGTCTCTTTGTGGGTTAAATTAGACTGTGAGAGAGACACCTAAGTCGGCGCTGGGAATATGTTAGAGACTCCATGAGTCTGAATGGTACTCTCCTTTCTTGGAAGGAAGGTCAGGTCACTGAAATAATAGAAGTTCTAAACCACAGATGGAGGCTTGGCCTTGCACCACCCAACAGTCATAAGGCCTGGTTTTTCTAGATCTCTCCTGTGGAGGATGCTGGGAGAACAAGACAACTGTCATTAATTAAGCACCAGTTGTGCGTCAGCGCGCTAAACATTTTGCATTTGCGGTCTAACTTTTCTTACAAACCTGTGAAGTCCATAGTAATCAGGTTGATGAAGTGACTTACCTAGAAGAGCATGTGGCAGAGGCAGATTTGAACCCAGGTCTTTTGGACTCCAAGCCCCTGCTCCTTCTATAGCCAGGTCAGCTCCTAGTGTGTTGGTGAAATGGCCCTTGAGCGGCACTGGGAACTTCCAAGAGAAATGTAGTCAGGATGGGAGCGCTCACACATGAGGGAGAAAGAGCCAGGAACAGGACTCCCTGTTCCAGCCCTCGGGCCATCCCGCAGAGCGCCAGCCCTTCCCACCGGATGCCAGCCCTGTGTCCTAAACTGACCCAGAATTCGGGGCCAAGGCATAGTGGACTTAGAGGGCGCACAGGACCGGTGGTGGGGAGGTGCGGGTCGGGGACCTAGACTCCGCAACCAGTGCCAGCCCGGGTTCACGGCGCGGCTTCACGGCAGTCTAAGCCCCTGTTTACGGCTGCGGTTTCACAGCTCGAACTCCCCCCAGGGCCAGGCGCAGGGTGGAAAAGTAGTGGCAGTGAAGAATAAAGACACCAAAAATGGGGAGACAGGACCTGGGGACTTGCCCCAGCCTTGCCGTTCACACCTGTGAGCTGTGGCGAGTCTGCCAGGTGCTGTGGACCATAGTCATCTCATCTGGGGTAAGGAGGTGCCCTAAATTAGTAGAACTTCAGGCTGGGCTCTGCAGCTGCCCCCACCCCCACCCCCTTTACCAGTTGAAGGAAGGAAGGGCGAGAAGGAGGGGGAGAATCACAAAATTTGAAAAAGTCTCTACCAGCCAGTCTAAAATTCCTTATAACTCAAACACTCAGAAATTTCCTTTCTATTTATATAAAGTAAAACTTTTTAAGGAGACCTGGAAGAATGATGAACAAATTAGGAGTCTGATCAAAGCAAATCGAATGAAATGGAAACTTGCCAGGTCTCTAGACTTTGTCTGGAGGAGGCCCTCTCAGGCTGAGATACCTGCTGGGAAGAGAGCTGCAGGATTCCTCCGTCAGGGAGAATTCCTCCCACAGCGACCTGGGCTGTGGGCCCCTAAATCTCAGCCTGTGTGGGGCCCCCTCTTTCAGCCACCCCCCACCTGGCGCGCACAGGCCCCCTGCTGTGGGCCACACGGGCTGCTGAGGACAGAGGTGGCGCTCTGCTTCCCCCTGGTGGCCATTGCCTCTACAGACAACTCAGCTTGGGACCCTCTGTCCCCAGCATAGGTGGTTGGCACCACCCCTGGTCTGCATTTCAGCCACCTTACGGGCTGTGGTGATGGCAAGCCTGGACCGGAGATGCCCCATCTTCATTTACTGGCTTCTCCCCCACAGGGATCCTGTCACCCTGTGATTGCATCACCTGCTCCACCGTGTGAGGCTGGACAGGCCTTCCCTGTTGGCTCAAGTTACTCTGTCCAAACCTGGTTCATCAGTAACACTCAAACGTATCCCTCCCTGGGGCCCCGCAAGTCTCAGAGATGGGACAGACAGGTCGCACGTCAAACCGTGCAGAGCTGCGATCAGGCTCATCGGTGCCCGCGGGCTGCTGCCTCGGTCTTCGGCAGGCAGTGTGAGGCAGGATCCTGGACGGTTAACAGAACAGACTTGGAGTCCAGATGTCATGCTTTGTTCTCAGAGAAGTCACTTCTCTGAGTCTCACTTTTCCTGCCTGTAATATAGGGACCTCAATAGAATTGACCTCATGAAGTTAAGCCAAGGATGAAATGAATGAATATGTATACAGTGCTTGGAACCCTGCCTGGCACATACACTACATAACTGATGGTGACGATGATGACGCCAAAGCAGCTTTTTAATTGGGTCCAAGACCTGTGCCCAGGGGCTCTGCTCCATGAGCCTCTTCCATCGAGGCCACCTACGGAATCAGGGCTCAGGGCTCGTTGGCTCTGCCTCTCTTTCTGCCAACAGCCCGCCCATCAGCACCACGGAGCTACTCAGCACACGTGCTATTCTGTGCAGCTGCGCTCTCGCCCCAGCCCCGGGGACACAGCCCCTGAACACGGCCGGCCTCACCTCTGCCCCACTCCTCCACACTCGGGCCTTCTGCAAGTGCTGTTCTCCCCACCAGGAGCACGCTGCCCCCCATCTGCACAAGACTAGCTCCTCCCCATTCCGTTCCTAGCTCCAAGGTCACCTCCTCAGGGAAGCCTTCCTGATGGCTCCAAAGCACTCTCTCCTCCAACTCACCACCATTGTCTCTCTCATTTCACCCTATCTCCTCTGAACTGTTATCATGAGCTGAATTTACCTTATTTATTAATTTTGTCTGTTAGATATATATTGTCTGACCCTCTCTACACGCCCCCCCCCCGCCCCCAGACACACTTATGAAGGCAGGGCACCCTTGTCTTTCATCGCAGCACCTGGCATAAGGCATTCAGCATGTATAGGTGTTTGTTGAACGAACAAACAAGCGAATGAATGGATGGGGTAAGTGGCTGAATGTATGACCATCCCGGCTGTGCCCGGAAACTGGCATCTCTCTGCCCCCTCCCTGGCCCCTCTAACTTGGACTCTCTCCACAGCTGTCTTGCTGACAGTGTGCTGCCTGAGGAGGAAGAAGAAGACAGCCAACCCGGAGAACAACCTGAGCTACTGGAACAACGCCATCACCATGGACTACTTCAACAAGCACGCTGTGGAGTTACCGAGGGAGATCCAGTCCCTTGAAACCTCTGAGGTAATGAGCTCCAAACCAGGGGGTTGCCCCTGGAACTGCCGGCCCCACTGCCGGGAAAATCACAGGCTCCAAAGAGCGCCAGGAGCCCATCTCCTCAAAGCGCGGTCCGCGGACCAGCAGCAGCGCCCCGCGGGAGCTGCAGGCCCTGCCCAGCCCTACAAATGAATCAGGATCTGCAATTTAGCAAGACTCCTCGGGGTCGGCATACATATGTTAAAGTTTTGGAATCACCGGTCTTGGGTCTTTGAGTTTCCAGGAACAAGTCAACAAATAGTCACTGAGGACCCGGTTTGTGGCAGGCCCCCTGGGGACTGGGAAGATGAGAGCTTGCTCTCAAGGGGCCCAGATTCCAAGATGGGGTTGGGGTGTCATTCAAAGACAAAACAAACTAGGGAAGGTATGTGGAGAGTTACAGAGAGCTGTGGAGACCCAGAGGAAAGTCTTCCAGGGGAGGGCAAGGAAGGAGAAATGGATTTCACAGGTATCCCAGCAAAGGAAGTAGCCCGAGCAAAGGTGGGGATGGGTGTCAGATGTGGCTGAAGGAAGCATTTGCCCAAAACACCTGGCTGGCCGGTGAGAGAACTGGGCTTTCCCCCCAGTCTCTTTGAGCTCGGAATCTGTGCCCTTTTCACCCTCGCAGGGAAGGTAAGCAGAGGCCAGGCTGTGGCAGGAGTGGTAGGTGGATGAGGTGTGGGCTTGAATGGGTTTCCATAGACTAGAGTCTTGGGCAGCAGAGGCTCACTGAAAGCTTGAGTTTTGTGTGACCGAGTTCTGGGAAGACTGCGCTGATGGCCTGGTGAAGGCGCTCTGTTCGTGGCCAGTGAATGGAGAGGAAGGGTGGTTTCATGGATGGAAGGATGGGTGGATGGGAGGGAGGACAGCCAGACAGACTAGAAAGAAGCAGACCTACTGGGACGCGCTGGAGATGGGCCAGGAGCAGGATGTGGCCCCTGAGGAAAGGCAGTGAGAGCTGAGAAGCATTGTTCTGGAGATGCACCCCCTCCCTCCCCTGCAGATTCCTCCCCCACAGCAGCCAGGCTGAGCTTTTATAAACATGAACATGATCATGTCAGTCCCATGCTCAGAACTCTTCAGTAGCTTCCTGTTGCTCTGAAAGTTCAAGTTTTTACAGGGGCTGCAAGGTGGGCCTGGCCCTGGCCCAGCTTCCCAACCTCATATCATGTCCGTGTCCCTCTCATCTGCTAAGACACACCGGACCTCTTCTCGCCCTTCACAGCACCAAGCTATGCCCCACTCGCACTGCAGGAGAGGGAATGCGCATGGGCCATTCCCTCTCCTGGGATGCCTTCTGGGCCTGCCTAGCACCCCCTTCGCTTGTCCCCTGCCCACGGTTCAGGCCCTGTCTGAGCATCGCCTCCTCAGGGGGGCCTTCCCTGACGTGGCAGCCTGGGCTTGGCTCTCCTGTTGTGTGGTCCCAGCTCCTTCTGCTCTTCCCCTCTTAGCTGAACTACCAGCAGCATCAGCACAGTCGCTTCCTCCCCAAAACGATTCCTCACTGGCCTCGGGGCCGTCCTGTCCTGGCTCTCCTGCCACCTCCCAGCCGCTCCTCCCGGATCTGCTTCCCGGGTTCCTTGTCCTTTCCCAGCCTCTAATCGCCTCCCACTGCTTCTCTTTCTACCTTGTTCCTTGACTTAAGTACCGTCTCTGGCCTCTGGGCTACCAGTTCCTGTCTCTGACCTTGACATGTCCCCGAACTGTAGACTCACATACCCAGCTCCCGGGCACATCTCTAATGAGCACCTCAAAGTCACCACGCCCAAGACTGAACTCTTGACTTCCCCGCCCCGCCCATACACCTGAAAGCTTACTGCCAGCACCTGACCTCCTGTCCCCACATCCCGCCTGTCAGCACCCCGCACTGGTTCCTCCTACCTGGCGGACACTTGTCACCACCTGCCCTTGCCCAGGCTGCCGTCACCCTCCCAACCTCAGGCTCCTGGTGGCCCCTGAAAATGGGATTCCTACTGCCGTCTCACCCCCAGCAGCCTGTCCTTCACGCAGTAGCCGGTGAACTTTGCAAGGCAGGACCTCTTGTCCACCGTGGCTCCCAGCCCTCAAATGGCCCCTCTTCACACTCAGAACAAAACTGAGTCCCCCTACCAGACCCTCCACAGGCTGGCCTCCACCTGCCCCCGTGAGCCGCTCCTGCCAGCCTTCCCATGGATCGGATGCGCAGGCCACACCCACCTCTCCTACAGGCCAGCGAGCTTGCCCTCGCCTCAGAGCTTGGCTCTCGTGCCAAGTGAATTGCTCTGATCTGAAATGCTCTGCTCGGGCTGCCTCCTGCCTCACTTCCTGCAGGTCTCTGTCCCAATGCCACCTCCTCAGGGAGGCCCTCCCTGACTGCTCTACACAGATTAAAAGCCATGCCCCACCCCCACAGTTCTCTCCTCCCTTCCAAACTTTATTTTCCTTCAGAGCACTTCTCACCACCTGCCATTGCAACACTCTCTCTTTGTCCACTGGTCTGTTGTCTCTCTCGCCCGCTCGAATATAAGCTGCCTGAGGGCAGCAGCCTGGTCAGTTCCCCTCACAGCTCAGTCCACAGCACCTAGAACAGGGCAGGGCCCAGAATATGGTAGGTACTTTTTGAACGCTTGTCACATGAATGAACCACAGGTTTTGTTCACACTTTACCCATCCATCCCCCAGCCCAAGGTGGATGCTTAATAAAAAATTTTAACTGAAGGACAGAGAGAGGGGCTTCATGAAGGCATTGGCCCCTAGCATGGCCGGTGCACTTTTGCACAGCAAAGGTACCTGAGGGCTGTTACAGGGAGCCAGGATGGGGAACTAGGCAGAGGGGCTGGCCCTGCTTTGGGTGTGGGCTGCAAACCCCAGAACTCTAAATTTCTCACATTCTCTTTGCCAAGTCAATATATGAAAGCCAAAGCCAAAGAACAGTGCTTGTGAGCGCACTGCAGGGAGGGCCAGGCGTTCTCTGCGGCCCAGAGCGCCAGGGCGAACATGGGACAAAGCCCGAGGCTCGGGCAGAGACCGGCGCTGAGCTCAGGATCGGAGCCGCAGCAGGAAGCTCGGCCCAGCCCGAGTGCATTCGATCAGCTTCCCTCCCAGCAGGCCTGCAGCCCTCGTCCGGCTTTATTCAGAGGGATGCCATGGTTTGTTCCAACTCTCAGGGCACACGCATGCACCACAGGTCACTCACAGAGTGACCGCATAGCCACGGGGCGCAGTCCACTGCTTCCCACGGCCTCAGGGCGTGCGCTCACCGCCTGCTGTTTGGCTGCCAGGTTCAGAGGCGGCTAGGTGCCGTGTCTAAGTGGGTGCCCTGGTGCCAGCTCCCCATCTGGGTGCTTGAGGGCAGCAAACATGAGTCTGGGCCGTGCAGGCAAAACCGTGAAGCCCAAAAGGTGCTTGGGAACGTTTCCATGCTTGCTTTCCTTTCCCTCTTCCTTCCCTGCCTCTTTCTTACCTTAGTTGTTTCCTAAATAACCTTCTTTCGTACACAGTGAAAACTCCCCACATAGTTCCCCCCTGGGTAAACTCTTGCTTTGTGGAAAAATTAAAACGACAAGCCAGATCCCAGCCTCCCAAGTCCCCTCCACAGCTCAGCCCAAACGCCCCGTGGAGAAAGGGTCCTGTTCCGCCCCTGACGTGCCGGCCTGTCCACCCCTCAGATGGGCTTTCAGCTAATTCCAAACATTGAAGGAAATTCTTGTCTTCAGAGAAGACATTTGACCAACACATAGCCTTTCTTCCTTTGTCTCTTTATTCTACTTAAAGCAAAACATAACTGCTCAAAAACTATGTCTCACTTAAAGACAAACTTCAGAGGATTCATTGTGGCTTCTTAAAGAGAAGACATCTAAGCAAGTCTGTCTTCAGCCAGTTATACCGGGCCTGAGTCTGAGAACAGCCATGCAGACAACCTGAGCCTGGCTTGCCCAGTTCTGGGCTTGTCTCCCCTGGGGCTGTGCTCACAGACTGAGTGTTTCACTTACCACCTATTGTGCTGCCACACAGAGATTCAGATCTGTTCACCTCCATATCTAGTGCTGCAAGAAATGGGGCGAGGATTCCAACCTGGCTCTGGGAGGATTCAGGAGGGGAGGAGTCAGCCCGGGGGCGCTCCAACACATGGGTGGCAGGAGAGGAAGGATGTGGGGTGTGTCAGGGAGGAGAAGCAGCAAGGTCTCCAAGAGGCATGAGAGCGAGGCAGGAAGGAGAGTCTGGGGCCCTAGTGGACCGCAGTTTGCCTGTGAAGCCAGTGAGCTATGCAGGTTGCAGGTCAGACATGATGAGCCCTCTCGGACTTTGACAAGGAGACCACTACCATCTCTGGAAACCTGAGGTGGGGGTGATTCAGGGAGCAGGAACTCTGTGTTGGAAGCTGCTATAAAAATTTGAAAGAGCAGAGAGGGCTCTGCACTTCAGCATTGGCTGTGAAAAGGATGAACAATGTTTGCCAAGCAATCCCATGTGTAAATAATGGTCCTCGTGCCCTGGCTGGGTGGCACAGTGGGTTGGAGCATCTTCCCTTGTACCAGGTTTCAGGTTCAATCCCTGGTTGGGACGCGTATGGAAGGCGACCAATCAAGGTTCCTCTCCCACATCGATGTCTGTCTCTCTCTCTCTCTTTCTCTCTCCCTTCCCCTCTCTCTAAAATCAATAACCATGTCCTCTAATTAAAAAAAAAACAAAGGCACGGCCGCCTTGTGAACCCTCCTGGCTCACGCCATCTCCTCCCTCTCTCCCCAGGACCAGCTCTCAGAGCCCCGCTCCCCAGCCAACGGCGACTACAGGGACACTGGGATGGTCCTTGTCAACCCCTTCTGCCAAGAAACCCTGTTTGTGGGGAACGATCAGGTATCCGAGATCTAACTGCAGCAGCCCTCGCTTTGCCGTTCCCTACCTTTTGTCTCTAAATTATAAATATACAAATATATATTATAAATATAATCTTTGTGTAACCCTGACTTAATAAGAAACATGTCAGCCTTTTTTTCCCTAAGAATTGTCAACATCTTTTTTATAAGTGTGGTTTAAAAAAAAACTTTACAGAACGATCCGTGGCTTTATAAAATAAAGGTATTTCTAAGCAAAGCAGTTGCATCGATTGCTTCTCTTAACTGTCCTTGAGCACTTGGGGGTCCCAGCAGCCCCGAGCAGGTGAGGGAATGTCACACACATGGCCCTTGAGTGATTCTTGAAGCTCAGGTTCCTCTCGATTCCATGTGACCCCCTGCCCCCTCCCTGTGCACACCAGTGAGGGGCCACCTCGGGGGGAAGAGGACAGCAGATGTGCGCACTGAAGCAGGAAAGCTGGAAAGGGGACATGTCACCGCCCCAGCAAGGAGCGCCTTTGAGCCTCACAGTGGTACCCTGACTGTCGAGGGTCACTCCACCTGGGCAGCCGGGCAGGAGCGGCAGCCCACCGGAGTCCCGGAAGTTCACCGGACATCTGAAGGCCACAACCCCAACATCACACAGCAGGGACCTTCGCTGCGCTGACTCGGCACTGCCTTTCCCTGGAGAAGAAGGGCTCGCCCCTAAGCGCACGCCTGCGTCCTCTGCAACACCCACATCTGCATTCAACACTCGTGCCTTTCTCTGAGAGCGTTTCGAGGGGGACCCTGCCGCGAGCTTGAGGATGCCGGCCCTTCTTCAAGGATCACGTGTTTATGGGGGTTCAGCTTCACTCGCTCAAAGGCCATTGACTGTGCCCCTGAGGTACATGTTCACGTAAGAAGCCTCAAAGTGTAGAGCTGTCGTTTTCTAAGTCGTCCGCCCACGATCCTACAGAAGCGAGATTGCCAAAGCGACCGCCCAGGAGCAGAATCATGATACCCCGGTCAGCACTGCAGGCCCGTGTCTCTCATTCCCGGTCCCCCGCGCGGCTCCCCCCGCCGCCACCCAGGCTGCGTCCAGCTCGGCTAGCAGGGAACGACCCTCAGAGCCAAGAGGGGCTTCCAGAGGTGGCTGCTTCTCCACTTGTTTCCCTAGACAGTGGCTGGGGCAGAAGCCAACTGCTTTGACACTTCCTTTCTCGAAAATAAAAATAGTTTGATAGTATATATTTTGAATATAGATGTTCTTATAGTCAGATTGGGAATTGAACTTGAATGTTGATTCATATGTTTATGTTGTTGCTGTGGTCTTTTTACCATGACTTCTTTCTTCCTACATTTTCCTTTGAAAAAAAAAAAAAGATGGCCTTCAAAAATGTGTGTTCTCAGTGTTGTATGAACATACTTAACATGAGTTTGCTGGTTGTCTCTCTTTAAAGAATCTTCAAACCGCAAAGAAGCAGGTTAAATGTTGCTCTGAGATTCGTTTTCCAGTGTACTGCTGTCTGACATTTTATCTTTATCATATTTCTGTTAGCTATTGCATTTAGTATATCAATGTGTGTGTGTATATATATAGAAAGAAATGTTTGTAAAGTAAAATTTATATATAATATATGTAATCAAAGATACATATGTTATATATACATATGTGGATGTATGACTTATTTTTCCTTATCAACGGAATTCAGCTACCATGTATATATAAATAAACTTATTTTATTAGCCAGAGGATTAAGTTGCTAATACATTTTGCATTCTTTTCATTATTAAAATAACTTTTAAGTCTTCCTTTAGTACCCACACCACCTAATATCCATCTCTATTTTTAATCTTTAACCATAAATTGGGTTTTATGAGAATGACGAGCTAATAGGATTAGCTATTTATTGTTTGATAAGACAAATCCTTTAAAACATGTTTGCGATTTCTCCAAAAGAGAATCATCCCTCTTCAGGCCTTTGGACACATTGGTTTCAACTGCAGTACATCCCCTCCTCAACCTACACCCTACCCCACATCCCCGCGCCCCCCCCCTAGAAATCAGGGTTTCACTGTAAATATTGAAGGGCCAGAGAAATCTGAAGTTACCCTGGCTATAACTGTTACCATTCTACAGAGGATAATAGAACCTAGGCAACCTTTGCAGGCAGCTTAGTAGCTTGAACCCTTCATTTAGCCTTGAACAGTAGATACATCCTGGAATTTGCAAGAACGCAGCTCCCTGGGACCCAGGCAGCATCTCCTGCCTTAGCATGTTGTTGTACCACAGTCTCTCGCACACCATGTGCCTGCAGCATGCACCAGAGGTGGAGTTCACAGCAAGAATGCCACAGCTGAGAGAGCACAGGACGCCATCAGCCTTTACTTGACCAAGCTGGTTTCTTAATCTGTTAGTCATATACCCAACATGGATATTTATAAAGTACCTTCCATGTTATCTCAAAAAGGTGAAATAGAAGGAAAGATAAAAAATTGCGGTGTCGCAATCAGCAAGGAAGAGCATGTAGAATATTCCAGTAGGCAACCAGGGTTTTTAACTCTGCCTGTGTGCCCTTGGGTAGATACCCTGCTCTTGGCAGTGGGAGACAGGGGATCCTAGGTAAGTCACCAGATTAGGAGTCAGAAGAGGCCTGCTCATCCCAGTTCAGCTAGTTTCTGAACGTGGGATCTTGGGTAAGTCACTGCAGGTGGCAGGGTCCTTATCACATAAGGGAACAATAGCCAATCACAGGACACCTGATGATATTTCCGGAGCTGTGCCATGAGCAACCCAAATGGTAGGACCTGTCAGCTTCACACCTGCCCCCTAAGGTTGAATTGATAACTCAATGCAATAAAATATGGAAGCCATGCCCAGCACTGGGAAGGATTCAGCACACAGTACAAGTTGATTCCCTGTCCCAATTCTCCCGAGAAGTGTATTCCCACATTGCAGGCTCTGGAGTAAGTACCCAGCCTCTGGGTCTTGCTTACATGGCTTCTCCAGGGTAAAATGAGTGCAGTGGTTTTTAGGTCCATTTTGTCACCCTCAGGGCTGGAAGATGCCTTCTGAGCCTGGAGAGCCATGACAACATGCTCTAGTGGATTCTGAGAACAGGAATCCAAACCCAAGGAGTGTCATCGAATCCTAACTTTGAGCACCTAAACTTAAAGAGCTTACTGGAAAACCTCCTCTCTCCCTGTTTTATTAATCTTCTGGCAGATGGACAAACAGATGTATAGGGAAGAGCTAGAGTGTAATAGGTGCTCAGCATGTGTGGGACCTGAATTTGCCCAAGGTCCCTAGAGAGTTAGAGCCCAGGCCAGTGCATGGAAAGTAAGGTCCAGAGAGATGAAGCAACATGACCAAGATCACACCCCTGATGCATGGCGCCTTTCTTGGGAGAAGGAAAGATGCTAGGGAGGCACCTGAACCTGCTGCTGGGGCTGGGGGGCGGGGATGATAGGAAGCAACAGGCTTGGTTTGTTTCTTTTGAGACCCCAGAGTTGCCTCCTCCCATGACTAGTTTACATCGGTTTCCATCCTCTCTGTTACATGTCAGGACATGTGGGTACATTCACACATTTTCACACATGGCACATGTAAGGATGTAGAAAGTCCTGAAATTGGCCCTGGGAACACCTAGACTGATTGAACCCTGGCACAGCCATTCACTGCACTTGGCATCTGAGCCTCAGTTTACTCATCTGTGAAAGGGCTCTGCTTAATGCTTGCCTTGCCCTCTCTTAGGTAGTGAAATACACAAACCCAGGTGACCCACACCTCCAGCCTCCCCCACCACCGGCAGAAAACTCAAGGAGGTCAGGCACGTGGCCCTGCAGGGAATGCACAAGCACCTCTCTGCCCGCAGCCCTGGGCAGGGCCCGGGTCTCTTTGAGCTCAGTGAATGATGGAAACTCGTGGAAAACAGCAGACAAAGCAGCCCTGGATATTGGGGAGCTTCCAGAGAGGCCCATGACCAGGCCACAGGAATGCTAGGGCTGGACATCAAAAGCCACTGGACTCTGTAAAACCGCTAGGCACAGCACAGGCAGAAGCAGCGATGAGCTCCAGGCGGGTGGTGGTGCATGCGCCCACCGACGCCGGCCTGCCCCTCCACAGGCACAGGGCGTCCCTCAGGGGAACACGGTCGCTGTCCCCTCTGGATAGCCCCCCAGCCTCCAGGATCAGTGGAACAGGTGGCCTTGTCCGAGCCCCCAGGGTCTATGTAGGGATGGCCCCCAGTGTGTACACAGGCGGCCTGGTTGCCCGTGTGACCCGCCGAGCCCTGGGCATCAGCAGTGTCTTTCTGCAGGGGCTGCAGAGCTCAGGCCTGGCCATGGCTCCTGCTCCAGGCCTGGAGAGGGACCTCAGTGCCGTTGAAGACCTGGGGGGCTGCCTGGTGGAGTACATGGCCAAGGTGCATGCCCTTGAGCAAGTCAGCCAGGAGCTGGAGGCGCAGCTGCGGATGCACCTGGAGAGCAAGGCCAGGCGCAATGAGAACTGGGGCGCCCTCAGGGCCTCCTGGGCCAGCAGCTGCCAGCAGGTGAGTGCCCGGACTGTGCCCAAGGGCTTTGCAGAGGGCGAGGAGGGCATGCCGAGGGCTGGCTGTTGCACCATCTCTGGGAGGTCAGTATCAGAGAACAAGCAGGCTGAGGCAGGGGAAGGGGAGTAAGTGGTCGGAGGCCAGAGAAACTGTAACCCCTTCTGCTTTCTTGCTAAGCATACTAATGACAGTAATAACAGCAATGATGACTGCCATTGACCCCCCAAGGTGTCCTAGGGGCCAGACCCATGTGGGTCCCTCGACATGCACTGTGTCTTCTAGTGTTTAGAGCAGTGCTATGCAGTGGCTCATTCACTGATTGCGTTTTTCAAGTGAGAAAACTGAGGCACCACGTTAAGTTCCTTGGCCAAGATCAGACAGCAAGTAAGGAGATGGAGCTGAGGCTTAAACCTGAATTTTTCTGGCTCCAAAGCTTGTATTTGTCCCATTCCCTTAGGCTGCCTCTGTAACCTTTGTGTTAGGAAAGGGTTTTTACAGCCATCATCAAGTGGAATAACATCAAATGGCTATAACATTAAAAACAATAAACAAGTGAAGGTAAGTTCCTGTAGCCGTCTATAATCGTACTGTCTAATAGAGATATGAACCACATGGATAATTTACAGGTTTCTATGACCCATGGTAAGAAAAAAGAAAAAAAGGAAACAGAAACAGATGAAGTTACTATTGTACAGTATCGTATTTAACTCAACATGTTTTAAGTGTGACTTCAACATGTAATCAATATAAAAAATAGCAGTGAGATCATTGACCTTCCAACAGAACTTTCTGCAATGATGGAAATGTCCAATAATCCACACTGTCCATCCTGGCAGCCACCAGCCACACGTGGCTATCAAGCACTTGAAATGTGGCTGATGAGAAGGAGGAGTTGAAATTCTGTACTTCATTTAATTTTCGGTACTTTAAATGGCCACGCGTGGTAGTGGCACTCTTATTGGACCAGGCAGCATGCAGAGGTCTCCTCTGTCTCCCTTGCTTGGTCAGCACCTGCGCTCCAAGGAGGTTTCCGCAGCGCACCCAGCTCATCCCTCGTGCTGGGCCTGCAGCCGGGGACTCTCATGCTGGGGCTCCAGCCAGCGTGGCACAGCTCCTCTGTCTCTTTGTGGGTGGCTGCCTTCTCTTCTCCCCACCCCCGCCAACCATGCCGGCCTTGGGGTCCCTTGGAGCTAAAGAAGCCTCTCACCCAGCCAGGACCTGCCACCTCAGACCCCTTGCCCCGGGGGCTCACCACACAGCCCCCCAAGATAAGGTCACAGACCTTCATTTGTGTGCAGCTGGATGAAGCTGAGCAGACACACTCGGGGCTCCCCCCTTGCCCCTCCCACCATCCATTCATCCCAGCGTGGGGCTGCTTCACGGTCAGCCAGTGCCCAACTGGCAGCACAGGGCCCATGACACGCCACGCTGTCCTTCCTGCTTTCCCCTAGAGCTGCGGTTCCGCTCACATCCAGCTGGGCGGAGGGAGGGCCGGCTGAGAGCAGGCTGGCCTGGACGCTGCCACCAAATCCAAGGCCGTCTCTCCTCCCCCATTCACTGCAGCAGTCCTGATTCCAAACATGTGTCCCGTAAGCCACAAGAACGTCGCTAGAAAGGCCAGTATTTCAGCATCTACAGGACAGTTTTTGCACTCTGATGCCACACAGACTTTTCACAAGAAGTCAGGCAACTCAGCATCTAGGTCAGAAAGCACAGCCACAGAACTCAGCAGACACTGGCTTGGTCTGGCTCCAGCTGGCCACAGGGGTGCGGGCAACTTACTCAACCTCTCGGAGCCTCAGTTTCCTCACCTGTAGAATGGGTATAATAATGCCACAGATAGTCCAGCAAATCTGAGGATCAATAAGTCACGTGGTTCCTGCCCTCAGATGAACTGCAGACTAGACACTGTCCAGGGAGAGCACCGTGGCCCCAGTGCCGCAGGAGAAGGCCGGGTGCCAAGACGTTCACCCCGTCACAGGGCACCGGAACCCCAAATGAAGGCCATTTTCCTCTTAAATGACTATAACTGAGGTCCTAGGGGTGATTACAGTGTTCTCTCTTCTTTTTGTTTAAACAAAGACTTGATGATATAGTTAAACTGGTAAAATGCAGTTATTCCTGTGTCACACAGCTCGGCCTTCCGGCCAGGTTAATATCTGTTCTGTGAAAAAGAACGAAAGAAAAAATTATGCATTAGAGAAATAACCCAGGATTTTTCTATTGTTGCCGTTGCAAAACTGACTTGCCCTGCCCACGCCTTTCGGGCCCCCACACATGGCTGTCAGATGGCTTTGCTGGCACCTGCCCTCCATCCTCGTATTCCCACCTGGTCACCACAATGACCTTCCGGACACATGGGATTTGACTACATTGTGTTGCTGCCCAAAACCCTTCTGGGCTGCTTGTCACTCACTGGACATGATCCGTGAGCCCGGCCTCAGCCCACAAGGCCCTTCTGAAGCCAGCCTTCTGTCCCAGCCTCACCGCCCTGCTCTGCTCCCCTATGATGCTTCCCGCTCCTTCCAGGACTTCATGGCAGCCTCTACCGCATCCACCGGGCAGCTGCCACGTTGTCCCGCGGACATGTGCATGTCCATCCTCCACACTCTTAAGCCCACTTAGGCCAGGATTGTCCCGCACAGTGAGGAGACTGAAAAGGGCACACACTGGGAGTCGGGGTGACCTACGTTTGGATGCTGGCCCTGCCACCTGTAGCTGGGTGCCTTTGGCTCAGTTGCTTGACTTCTCTGGACCTGTTTCCTCATTTGTAATTTTGGGGGTCAGGATCACTGTATCCATTTTGCAGAACTGTTAGAGGGGGTTGACGTGTGCGATCAGCGGCTGACAGCTTAGAAAGACTGTGCCTTTCCTGGCATTGCAGGCAGCCAGGGCCGTGGACGCGGGCCATGCTCAGCCAGGCGCAGAACTGCCTTCAAATCCTGGTTCTGCCACTGACTCAGACCAGCCACTCCTCCGCCCCATGTCTCCCTTTCCCCATCTTCAAAATGCATGATTGCCTCCCAGGGCCATTGTGAGCATGAAATGAAATAAGATGCAAAAAGGAGCTTCAGAAACTGTGAGGTGTTGTGCACATGCAAACAGACCATCCAAAGTAAGAGCGCCGGTCCCCAGGGGCTGGACCTCTGACCAAGGGACTTGCTGGTGGAGGCCATGCCCCACCTCCGGGGCCTTAACAGGAGCCCTTCTACCTCCCGCCACCCCTCACAGTGTCCTCCCCAACGGCCACAGAGTCACAGCTCCTTCCTAAGCCCTATCCATCTCTAAACCGTAGGCCGCACTTCTGACTACTCAGAAACAATGCCTACCCACCCCCCACCCCGGGAGTGAGCCCACTGGCTTCCCGGGACTCGTCACGGAGCCCTAGACCCCGCAGCCAGCCAGCACCTCCATGCTGCAGGAGTCAGACAATCAGTCCTTGGGGTGGGGAGACCTTCTCCCTCATCCCTCACTATGTACGTGTGAGCGCCTTGGAGGAGCTGGGGTCAGGGGCAGGGGCAGCTTCACAGGCATGTGACCACTGCAGTCCCAGGCTCGGGAGGGCCCTGAACTGGGAGTTTAAGGCTCTATAGTCGCCATCTTGAAATTCTTAATGACTTCATGTTTGAATTTGTGTTCTGTAAGTGAAGTCGGATGGGACAATGGAGTATGTATGTGTCAGGGACTTGGAGCCTCGGCTCAAACGGGGTCCCACCTCCTGTTTTGATACCACAGGGATGAAATCAGCAAAATCCAGGCTGTGGGAAACTATGCAACTAAAACGACCCAATTTTTTTCAACAAGTAAAAATTACAAGGGGGGAAAAAAGAGATGGAGGGGAGAAAACTGTAAATTAAAAGGAACTAAACTGACATATTGACCCTTTGACATGGACTTTATTTGAACCATTATTCAAGCAAGCAGTTAAAAAATAGATTAAACATGAAGAAAGATGAACTGGGTATTTAATGATACTGGGCAATTGTGATCAACTTTTAGATATGGAAATGGTTGTGAAGTTATGTGCTTTTCTAAAGTATCTTTATAATTTAGCAATACATAGTGAAATATTTGAAAAAGAAATAATATAATACCTAGCACATGTTCAAAATAATCAGAGGCAAGGTGGAGAACTAAGGGGGTTTAGGGGAAATAAAATAGGCCATGAGCTGCGGATCACGGAATCTGGCTGATGGGTATATGGGAATCCATTATACCATTCTCTCTTTTTATATAAGTTTGAACTTTTCATAACAAAAATGAAGATAAAATGCCTACCTCATAGGGTTGGCCTGTTATTTACATAAAATGAAATCATGTATGTAAATTTCTGGGTGCATAATCAATGTCCAATTAAAGTTCATGGAATAACCCTGAAGACACAGACACTAAATGAGTAGTAAAATAAACAGTGTTCCCATACAAGCATTCGTGAGTGGTTCAACCTACACATGCTGCAGGAGTTTAATAAAGACATAAGGTCTTGACCAGTTCTGAGCAACGACCAGGAAGCAGAGACTACATGTGAAACACAAAGAACGTGCCAGGAGACGGCCCTCCTGCCCAGGGCCCAACGTGGACAAAGGCTGGGGGTCAGGATGGGGCATGGCTGCCTGCAAGGCAGTCTGTGTGTTGGGCGGAGACATCCCAACTGTTTAAGGGAAATTTTATTCTGGACGCTTGTTAAAATCGGCAAGACAGATTTTGTTCAGGCTACTGAAGTAAGGGAGAGAGACAGGGTAGAACCAAGCTCAAGCGCATATAACCAAAGGCTTTTTAAACACTGGGGTATGCTTAAAAAAAAAAAAAAAAAAAAAAATTCTGAAAGGAGGTTAAGAGGGGGATGTTTATGTGACTGGGCCATCTGTGTTTGTTCACTGGCGCTTATCCAGAGGAGAAGCACTTTTCTCATATCTTTACGACAAGAGCAGATTGGAGCTAGACGCCCGCCAGAGCTAGCGTGGTACCCTTCCCGGAGCTGGGAGACAAGGGAGCTTCTG